TTGTTGTATTGTTCTTGTATTGCTTGTTGTATTGTTTGGTGTATTGCTTGGTATATCAGAGCTATATCTAGAGCTATATCTAGATACAGCCTAAGCTACTGACTTAGCTACATTCTCAATAGCTCAGCTGGAGCTGGAGCTGGAGCTGGAGCTGGAGCTGGAGCTGGAGCTTGTATCAGTGAGTGTCCTCCATATCAGCAGACACTGTATCAGGGAGCCTCTGTATCAGCATCCTCAGTACCAGCAGCCTCCGTATCAGCATCTTCCATATCAGCAACTCATCCGTATCAGCATCATCCTCCATATTGGCAAGCATCCTCCATATCAGCAACTTGTCTGTATCAGCAAGCGTCCTCTGTATGAGCAAGCCTCGTATCAGCATCCTCTGTATCAGCATCCTCCTTATCAGCAAGCGTCCTCCGTATCAGTGAGCCTCTGTATCCTCTGTATCATATCAGTGAGCCTCCATATCAGCAGGAGTCCTCCGTATCTGTTAGCAGCGTCCGTATCAGTATCCTCTGTAACGGCAATATCAGTATCCGTATCACCATCCTCTGTAACAGCGATATCAGCGTCCGTATCACCATCCTCCATATCAGCAGCCTCTGTATCACTGTCCTCCATAACAGCGACTTGTATCAGCCTCTGTATCACCATCCTCCATATCAGCAGCCTCCATATCAGCGTCCACCGTATCAGCAGCCTCCGTATCAGCATCCAACGTATCAGTGAGCCTCCGTATCAGCAACTCGTCCTCTGTATCAGCATCCTCCGTATCAGTGAGCCTCTGTATCAGCAACTTGTCCTCTGTATCAGCAAGCCTCATCCGTATCAGTGAGCCTCCGTATCAGCATCCTCGTCTGTATCAGCAACTTGTATTAGCAAGAAGCGTCCTCTGTATTTTGTGATAACACAAGAAGGAAGCAGAATAGTGATCAGAAAATATTAGTTTGCACCTCCATGCATCCAGTTGCAATGTTGCATTTTCATGTAGTATTCAATGGATGAAAATGCACCTTGGAGGCAAAGGAAAAACAACTCCATGAAAATAGTAGGCA